CGTATGCACCATAGGGATAAAAGGCACGCTGCAACCCCAGTCGGGGTCCTTGCCTGCGAGAGTGGCCACTGCGTTGGTGCTCTGGGGCTTGGACCCTGGCTAGCCAGAAAATAAACCTCCTCTTGTGTAAGTACATCCTCGATGTCTCTGCTTTTCTGTCCGGTGGAGCTGTGGAAGGTCGGTCCCTAACACACTGACTGGTTTCAAAGTATATTACAAGGTTATGGTAACCAAAAGAGCATAGAATTGGTAACCAAAAGAGCATAAAATCAGAAACACAGATCAATGGAACAGAAAAGTGTTTGCAGCCAACTGATTTTTGACAAAGGTGCCAAGAACATCTGTTGTGGGAAGGGATATCCTCTTCAATAAATGGTTCTTTAAAGACTGGATATCCATAAGCAAAAGAATGAAACTGGGCCCCTTATCTCTCACCCTATATAAAAATCAACTCAAGATAGAATAAAGTCTTAAAAATGAGATCCCAAACTATAAAACTACACCAAAGAAACAGGAGAAACACTGTAAGACATTAGACTGGGCAAAGATTTTTATGGCTGAGACCTCAGTAGCACAGATAACAAAAACAAAAATAGACAAGTGGGACTATATTAATCGAAAAAGCTTCTGCACAGAAAAGGAAACGTTCAACAGAGTGAAGAGACAATCTGTTGAATGGGAGAAAATATTTCAAATTATTCATCAGACAAGGGACTAAAATCGAGAATATACAAGGAACACTAACAACTCAACAATTAAAAAAAATAATCTCATTAAAATGTATGTCGTGGCCCGTTTACAGGATGGCGGAGGATGAACACAGAACACAAAACACAAACGCAGAACACAAAGAAAAATGCAGACACACATACAAACAGTTGACTTGGGTAATAATACACAGGGTCAGTTTTATTTTTATACTCTAAAAAATTAAAGTTAGTTCCTTGTACGTAACCACCCAGGCATTTCAGCAATGGCCATAATTCCAGAATACGTAGCCTTAGGGAAGCAGATATCCCCTGGCTCAAGGTTTCCAGGTGGTTGCTCTAGGCGCTAGGCATAGATCATGGACCGAGATTGGCAAGGATGGGCAAGGCAAGTCACAGGGGCATTTCTCATCCCCAGCTTTTCTTAGGATGACTCCCTAAGATCTTCGGCTGAATCCTGGCTGTGCCTAGCTTAGGTCACCCCTCCCTTGAGGGGTCTTACCCATCATTGACTAACCAGCCATCTTATGGGGTGTACGCAGCAATCACAGGAACAATGTGTTTATCGTGTGGGCTCCAGACCCCCAATGCCGTGGGGTGGGGCAGCTCTTGCTTACTTGCAACTCAGGTCCGTTGTTATGCCTCTAGGCAATACCTTGCTTTTGTTATGCCTCAAGGCAACAGGGGCCTTGTCCGGAACATATTACTTTTAAATGCTCTGGGCAGAGCACATACATTACTAAATTTAATTCTTTTCTGTTGTTGTTGTTTGTTTGTTTTTTTTTTGAGACAGAGTCTCGCTTTGTTGCCCAGGCTAGAGTGAGTGCCGTGGCGTCAGCCTAGCTCACAGCAACCTCAAACTCCTGGGCTCAAGTGATCCTTCTGCTTCAGCCTCCCAAGTAGCTGGGACTACAGGCATGTGCCACCATGCCCGGCTAATTTTTTGTATATATATTAGTTGGCCAATTAGTTTCTTTCTATTTATAGTAGAGACGGGGTCTCACTCTTGCTCAGGCTGGTTTTGAACTCCTGACCTCGAGCAATCCACCTGCCTCGGCCTCCCAGAGTACTAGGATTATAGGCATGAGCCACCACACCCAGCCTAAATTTAATTCTTAAACTAGGAAAATATATGTCAGTCCCCTACATCTCCCCCTATCTTATTTAATTTGGAAGGTGAACACGTGGGAACAAAGCCATGATGTTTTGTTTTTGCTGTCGCCGAGTAGCCTGCCTTTTTTTCCAGCACCTATAGATTAACAGCACAAAACATAATACAAGGAGAACACCCAATTTACTCCCAATACTACTAAGCATAGTTTTTAATGAAGCCAAAGGGTAGACCTGCAACAATCCACTGGCCAGGCCAGAAAAGAACTCATCATTATGAAAATCCGGCAGATTGTTTTGAAAAGCAGAGGTGATTTCTTGTTCTAATTTTTGGAGGTCACCAGTTAGGTTTTGGCCTCCATTTAACAATTTTCATAATGACATCCAATGTCGACTACTATTGAAAGGAATAGGAGTGACACAAAAACGGGAAGAATTCCAATCACAACGGAGAAAAGATTGAGTTGTCAAAACCTGAATTTGGTCTCCCAGCCACTGAACTGTATTCTGCAACTGAATAATTTCGCCTTCCAGGCGAGTATCAATTTCTTGCTGATGTTGCCATATTTTATGCGAATCTTCATGCCACTTACGAACAAAATCAGCCGTTTGCACAGAATGATGTAGAGCAACCCCGGCGACAGCAGCTGAGGAAGCAATCGCTATTAAGCCAACGACTGCCGTGATTATCAGCCCAATGACTCTTTGTGTTCTACCAGCCAGAGAAGTTATTTTATTTAAAAGACTGGTGACCAGGGCTGAATCGCCCCAAGGTCGGGAAAGGTAAACAGGCAACCATATCTCTGTACGAGCCTTGAGGATATATAGACTATGTAAGGATCTGTTAAAAGTAGCCCATGGAGTGAAGTTTACACAAGTAAATAGAGCACAATTTCCAGGGCAAGTCAACTGTCCTGTAGACTGATTCCAATAAACAGTTCCCACGAGTAAAAGATAAGGATAAGGAACGCATGCCAGTAAAGGTTTAGAATGGCGACGCTGGAGGTGTACTTTACGCCTCCCTTCTCATCTGAGGACATATTCCCCACCCAGATTTTAAGGTTTCCTCCTGTAGCCAAGAGTTTCCAGATGTGCCCTTGTTTTTCTGACGCCCCGAGTAAGTGAGGCTGTGGAGGGGAAGGGCCTTTATCATGCCAGATAACCGTCGTTGGCAATGGCCTCGACAGTGTCTTCATAAACACGCCAGCGTAAGGAGTGAGCAGAACACTTTTCCTTAAAGTGGCCATAGGGGCTCCAGTCAACAATCTTAGGATTACTGTGTACTTCTTTTAGAACTTTACCTCTACATACGCTCCAATCAAAATGAGCTACAGGAGGTTTAAGATGAGGCATGGAGCAGAGTGGTAAGGGGGGAGGTCTTTTACTCAAATTAGACATTACCCCCTTAAAACCTTTGGTGGATAATAATATAGTGCGGATAGCAAACGAGGAGGAATTAAATCGCAAACCTCATGCTTGATATGAGAGTGTTAAGCACTGTTCCCCGGCCCCGAGGCAAACGGGGTAGCTTTGAGCATAAGTGGAATAATTGAAAACTACCCCCCTTCGTCCTCAGGATGCGGTGACTGATATTGAAATGGAGGTGGCATCCATTTGGAATCATTAGTATAGACGAGGACGTCAGGCTCTCCCCATGATGCTGCCTTAAAAAGTGGGGGGGATAGGGAACATAAGCCCGATATACATGCTGAGCACTAACAGAATCAACCTGGCCAACTATAGAGGAGTACAAGATTAGCAAAGAGGCAGGTAGGCTAAGGGGCAGCCACACTGCCAGCGTTACCGCCCGCTTCCTCTTCTTCTGTTTGGGGCAGCTCAGTCCCCATCTTGCGTGGTTTCTTGGTGTGGACATCGCCTTTTGAGCCGGCGTACAGGAACCCACTCACAACCTTGTCCTGTGGAAACATAAGCATATCCCCGACCCCAGTGAAGAACTTCTCCCTCAACCCATCCTCCAGTAGGAGTGGCAGCAAACACGGGCTCACAGGCCTTTTGCAAAGGAGGGGAAGAGGCGCAATGACGCTCTGCTGCCGAGGCATGCAGGTCCTGCCAAGAATTTAAAACTTAAGGGTACAGAGGGCACGGAGTAAATGCTGGTGAGGAGATTCCTTGACTCCCCCTTTATGTTTTTGTAACTGAAGCTTGAGAGTATGATTGGCACGCTCAATGATGGCTTGCCCTTGGCTGTTAAAAGGAATTCCAGTAATGTGTTGAATGGAATAGAGTGTTAGAAAGCTGGCAGTTTTTGAGAGGTATAAGCTGGAGCGTTATCTGTCCTTAATGTCGCTGGAAGTCCCATGACAGCAAAACAGGAATAAAGATGAGTAATAACCACGTCGGCCTTTTCAGAGCTATGAGCCGTAGCCACTGAAAATGAGAATAAGTGTCAATTGTATGATGAACATAGCGAAGTTTTCCAAAGGAGGTGACGTGGGTAACATCCACCTGCCAAATATGATTACTACGCACCCCCGTGGGTTGCACCCAGGGGGGAGGGAGGGAAGAGCAAGAGGAGCACAGGGGGAACAGGAGCGGACAATAGCACCAGCCTGTTTTCTAGAGAGAGAAAATCGTTGTTGAAGGCTTTTAGCAAAGTGAACAAAACCTTGCTTTTGTTATGCCTCAAGGCAACAGGGGCCTTGTCTGGAACATATTACTTTTAAATGCTCTGGGCAGAGCATGTATTACTAAATTACGTATTAATAAATTACTAAATTTCATTCTTAAACTAGGACATGAATAGACATTTCTCAAAAGAAGACATTCAAATGCGAAACAGGTATGTGAAAAAATGCTCAGTATCACTAATTATCAGGGAAATGCCAATCAAAGCCACAGTGAGATATTATCTTACTACAGTTAGAATGACTATTATTAAAAAGCAAAAAAAAAAAAAAAAAAAAAAACTATGCTGGTGAGGATGCAGAGAAAAGGGAACTCATATATACCTTTGGTGGTAATGTAAATTAGTATAGTCATTATAGAAAATAACATGGAGATATTTTTAAAAACCAAAAATAGAACTACCACATGAGGTCCCTGGAGCTCAGAGGTTGGGGGTGGCAGGGAGCAGGGCCTGGGTGTGCTTGGGTTGCCACAGCAGACAAGGCAGATGCTGCGTCCCAGGGTCTGAGGCTGGGGAGCTGTGGGGCCCTCAGAGAGCAGGAGGTGAATGAAAGAACTCCTGGGACCTGGGGAATAGGTTGGCCCTTGACATCCAGAAGAAGGGGTCAGATGCCTGGGCCAGCTCACTGCTGAGCCTCTTATAACTCACAAGCTAAGTCTTGCACATGTCCTCCAAGAATGCCATCTACTTGGCAGACAGCAAAGGGGCCAGCTCTCTGCCCCTGACCATGTTCCCTGGCCCTAACACAGTGGCACCTCATGTTGAAACTGCCCTAAAAGATAATGAAAGGCCATAAAGTGGGAATTGTAGTAGGGGCCTGAAGTCTACAAAGGTTTAGGCATAGTTAACCAATAGTATATATATAAAACCAACCATTAGGCTGGGCATGGTGGCTCACGCCTATCTATAATCCTAGCACTCTGGGAGGCCGAGGCGGGCAGATCGCTCAAGGTCAGGAGTTCGAAACCAGCCTGAACAAGAACGAGATCCTGTCTCTATTAAAATAGAAAGAAATTAATTGGCCAACTAAAAATACATAGAAAAAATTAGCTGGGCATGGTGGTGCATGCCTGTATTCACAGCTACTCAGGAGGCTGAGGCAGTAGGATCGCTTGCTTTGGCCCAGGAGTTTGAGGTTGCTGTGAGCTAGGCTGACGCCACGGCACTCACTCTAGCTTGGGCAACAAAGCAAGACTTGTCTCAAAAAAATAATTAAAAAAATAAATAAATAAAAATAAAACCAACCATTGTTCCTTCCCTTGTTTTCCTATAATAGTTTACTACTCAGGAGTCGCATTGCTGATGGTCATAAAGGTTTTTGGCTTTCTTCATTGCTCCCATAGATAACACCACCTTTATGAAACCGAAGGCTGGTCTTTGAGATCTCTTTCAGGCCCTGCATCCCAGTGGACAAACTGACCCAACCAGACTTGTGACCAACACCTAGGAACCGACTCAATTGGTCTTGCCACCTGGGTACTGACTTAGGGCAAGAAAACAATTTTTACTTCCTGACCCTATGAGTTCATCTCCAGCCAATCAGCAGACCCAATTCCTTAGCTCTTTGTATGACAAACTGTTTATAAAAACCCTGGCCCCAAATTCTTGGGGAGATGGATTTGAGAAATTCCTCACAGCATGGTGCCCTGTGATATTAAACTCTTTCTCTACTGTAACCCCGGCTGTCTCAGTGTTTTGGCTTTCTTTTGAGCAGCAGGCAATGAACCTGACTGGACAGTAACACTGTCATAGGCACCAATGATAGGGACACTTTGCCCTTTCTCTACTGTCACAGTCTGTTATAATATTAATATGTCATCTCCTGTGCTTGACTTTCAATTGGTGCCTGCAGAACACATCTCAAGGACACTGTCAGAATCCCTCCTGAGCCATCTCTGGGAGGCAGCCCCAGGGGGAAGGAGGCCTTGTCCTTCTGCCGTCCTGTGTGTCACCAAGATGGAGTTTGGCCCAGCTGGGGACGGCTGGAGGCTGATCATCACAGGAGTCTGTAGGCCTGGTGAGAAAGGTCTAACAGGTGGTGACAGGCAGCGAGGAGGGGACGCACACGTGTGACCAGACCCTGCCGGCGTCCTGCTCCCACTCCTCTGTCCATCACTTGTGCTCCTTGTGCTCTGTTGGCTCCTGGGAAATTTCCTGAAGGAAACATGACAAGGAAACACTATTCCTGGCTCCTACCCTTTGTCAGCCTGCCTGTTGTTCAGGCAAATGCCAGGCAGATGGGGAACTAGCCTACTGATTTCTCATCCCTGCTTTCCCTCCCTGTCCTTCAACTTGGATGTCAGGGGTGCTGGAGTGGCGGGGCTGTCAATGGGCAGGGTGAGAATCTTCTTTTGCTGAGCTTTGGGGTCCTTTTGTGAGGATGGGACTCAAATGGCCGGCATTACAATTCAGATGTGAAAAACACTGCCATAAAAAAAAACCCCAAAAGAAATGAAAATAATATTCCCATTGACTTCTCAGTCAATAGACACTTAGGTTGTTTCCATGTGGTGACTACTGCGAGTAATGCTGCAATGAACGTGGGCATGAAGAAAACTATTTGAGATTATCTTTTTCTCACTCCGTCACCCAGGCTGGAGTATAGTGGCCTCACAGCTCACAACAACTTCCAACTCCTGGGCTCAAGAGATCCTCCTGCCTCAGGCTTCCGAGTAGCTGAGACGATAGGCATGCACCACCATGCCCAGATAATTTTCTCTATTTTTAGTAGAGATGAGGTCTCATTGGTCTTGAATTCCTGACCTTGAGTGATCCACCCACCTCCGCCTGCCAGAGTGCTAGGCGTTACAGGTGTGAGCCACCGTGCCCAGCCGTCTTAGTTCTAGTTATAATGTTTTAAGGAAATTCCATACTGTTTTCTGTAATGGTCGTACTAATTTACACACTCACCAACAGTGTGGAAGGGTTCTCTTTTGTTTGCACCCTTAACGGCACTTGTTATTTCTTGTCTTCTTAACACTAATCTTAAAGGGTGGGAGGTGATATCTCACTGTGGTTTTTTTTTTTGAGACAGAGTCTCACTCTGTTGCGCTGGCTAAAGGGACATGGCATCAGCCTCGCTCACAGCAACCTCAAACTCCTGGGCTCAAGCGATCCTTCTGCCTCAGCCTCCTAAGTAGCTGGGACTACAGGCATGCGCCACCATGCCCGGCTAATTTTTTCTATATATTTTTAGTTGGCCAATTAATTTCTTTCTATTTTTAGTAGAGATGGGGTCTCGCTTTTGCTCAGGCTGGTCTCAAACTCCTGATCTTGAGCAATCCGCCCACCTCAGCCTCCCAGAGTGCTAGGATTACCCGGCCTGATTTCATTTCATGTTGATTTTTGATCAGGCAGCCACCTGGGTCCACGCCCTGCTCCCTTACCAACCTTGGATGATGCCCCCAGCTCTCCCCTCCAGGTCTAGTGCAGACAGTGGAGAACTGGGGAGAAGGGAGACACTGCTGTGATCCAGCTCAGTGCCCAGTGGACTCTACAACTCCGCGATTCCCCTTGTGAAGGATGAGTTGGAAATACTGTACGTGCATAAATATAATGATTACGATGATGAATGTTTATTTTCCTACTTGGCAAAGGCTTATGTGGCTTAACTTATAATGCACAATTACAGTGAGGCAATTAAAATAAACACAACAAACGTCAATATTGTAAAGTAAAGATCTAGACATCCCGTTTCTGTGGGACATGGTCCAGCACTGCATTCAGTGCTAGTTGTGGTTCTCAGCTTTCTGGCACCTAAAGTAGTAAAGCAAATGGGGAATGTGCTAATCCACCTGAAGAGAAAAATTTCTTAGGATGTAAGTACAGAAGACCTTATATAGGTTTGTGCCTAAAATGTCATTGCTTACAGAAATGAATATTATTATTCTCCTTATTCTTGTAGAAAAAAAGAAAATCATACAATAATCTTGAAAAAACAAAATTATTTTTAAATGTCTACTTCAAACACCTTCTAGGGAATGACTGACATCATATAATTAACACAATTTAATGAAGCCCTTTCTGTGCAGATGTGTGAGAACACGTCCCAGGGAAATTCCTTTCCAATATCTAAACCCGCACACGGGAAAGGGCGAGAGCAGAGGGGGCCCGGAGGACGGGCAGGTTCACTGAGAGCGTCTCCCTGTCCCAGGAGTCCTGCGTGCCAGCGCTGGCCTGGGCAAGCACGACAGCTCCACTGTCATCTGTGCTCTCACTCAGAGTGACCTTCAGCTACACTCGTGGGAGAGCAACCAGGGGACCTGAAAG